ATCCATCTTAGAGTATGGAATTTGGTTTAAAGTTCTCGGGGTTGTTAATCTATGCTATAGTAGAACATAGAATNTAAAAAAAAAAAAATTGATGATTTTTCTAGACCGTTGGTTTAGAGTGTTTAGTGGAACTGCCACGTACATCCACCTTTAAAATGACCCTAGATGCGTTAGGGGATGCACATGTAGAAGCGTGTCTACTTGACACATGATACCTTTTTCCTATATGAAAGAGATGCGGTATGTCCACGTAGTACCTCACATTGACGCCTATATACAATGAAATTTTATCATGTATTTTATTATGGATGCAGTTTCTATGAGGCTTAGGCCTTTCGAAAAAGAGGTCAAAAGCATAGCCTAAAGCTCGCCCAAAAAACAATTTACGCATGGAAAAACTACGTGCCGGTTCCAAAATCAATTTCGATTATTGATTATGGAATTTGTAGTTCAAAAAAAATGGAATAAATTATGTGGATCTGCGGACACCCATCAGAATTTATAACCAGCCCATCTTTATGCTTAAAACCCCAAGAAATCAACCCAAACAATTAGCCTATTTTTTCCATCTGTTCGACCACCCTAGATTAAATAGTCTGAGCATAGAATTTCGATTTTCCATGTAAAGATGAGGCAATTCAGTTATGCACATAGCCCAATTCTCTCTATGTGAAGCTGTATGTCTCTTCTCATTGTGAGTTATCCGAAGGACCTGATTTTTATGCAGCCAAGCGCGCATATGTAGAAATGCTGGTTTTTTAATAAATCTATTTTTGAGATGGATTTTAAAAGTTATTTTTTAAGGATATGTAATCTCTAACATGGAGATCATGAATATGAAAACATAAATAAATTTTAAACACTAAAAATAATAATTTTACTGAGAAAACATTTGGACAGTTAGTTTCCATTGTTTTTAGATGAAACACCTACTTGCATCCATCTTTAAGATGGATGCTTTACAATTTCCGGACCGCATATGTAGAAAAGCGCTCCAGCCCATATGAAACAATTTTCCTTATCCAAATCCTATGCTTTTTTGGTCGCTATTATATTAGATATCCATCATAGTATTCCGAGAGCACATTTTCGATGGGGTCCCATAATGTAATCTAACTCCACCCCGCGATCAACATTTTTTACTAATTCCTTTCTTTTTGTTTGTGTGTTGTGCCTTTTTAATACCAAATATGATGCCTTTTAAGCTCATGCGACTAGAACAAGGCGTAATACTTTTTAGGGAAAATTATGGATACCCCAAAATGAACTTTATAGATATTTTACTTCTCAATATTTTTCCTATCATACCCACGACCCAGTATTTGTTTTTTTTTTTGCATAACCACTTAGTCACACGTAAACTACTCCTCAATCAAATCTCTCTCTACTTGCCCTCTCTTTTTCTTCTCTTTTTACCCGCCCTCTCCCTCTCTTTCTCTCTACCTATTTTCTCTTTCTCTCTCGATCCACCTCTCTTTATTTCTTTACCCGCCCGCTCTCTACTCGCCTATCTCTCTTAGGTAGAGAGAGGATAGGTAGGGAGAGAGAGGTATGTAGAGAGAGAAGGCAGGTAGGGAGAGAGAGGGTACGTAGAGAGAAAGAGAGAGAGAGACAAATTTGACCGGGGGGTAATTTAATCTTTAAAATATTCATTTTTTATTTAGGGTGGAGGTGGTAAACGCAAAAAAAATAATAATGACTGGGGGTAGAATATCTATAAAATTCATCCAAAATTTGCTCTACTTTTTAATTTCATGCCACTAGTACGGAATATAATGCCTTTCAAGGTTATAAGACTGGGGCCAAAACCAATAGTTCATTGTCATGAGGTTTATTGAATGTTATTTGAGCCTTCCACGCAGCTACTGAAGAGGGGGCATGGATGGCCAATAAATGAACTACTTGTCCGGCTCCAAATGGTTTATTGTCATGCAGGTATTTCTCTTTCGCACATACTGCTTCAAGCGGGATCATTGTTGCTAGGATTGGTTTCATGCTATGGGACTTGGGCTTTTTCTTAGATACAGGATGACCGCGGCCCTTATACCCTAGAGTTTAAGGTCATGACATGACCATCACCCTACTTTAACATTGTGAGGATGTTGTACGATATTGAACGACTTTTCTACCACTCGTCATAGACAGAGTATGGGTGCCGGGTCTAGGGGTCATCTGAGATGGATGTTGTCCCACAATATAACATCGTATTGCAGGTATGATTTTTATTTCACCATGTTACCCGTGGTGCCCTTTCGGAGATTCGATGCATCTGTCCGTAGAATTGGCACATTGTTCAGGTGTATTTTACTGATGGTAAAATATAATCGGGAGAGAGAGTGCCAAAGGCACCTAGAGAAGGGTTACTGCACTATCCAAATTTATCATTTTTGTAACTCAAGCGTCTTGATCTTGGGTGTTCTTTTTTCGCTTAACTGGACTTAGATGTAAAAGAAACAAGCGAACTTCATAGGCATCTGGAACTCTTACCGTACCTTAATTAATATCTCAATAAATTTGGACTTGTTTACCCCATTGTGTTCTTGTGCTCTGGTTCGGTTGGAGTCATTTTTTTTTTCTCTCCTCTTTTGTCTTTGTAATGGAGACATGCTTTGGGCAAAGTTGTTTGTTGGCAACTCTATTGGGGAGAGTTTGTTCTTCAGCTCTCTAGCTCGAAACCCAATTATATCCTTAGAAAGGAGAAACAACATAAAAAGGAGACATGCAGATAACCAACGGCTTCTTTATGGTCGGAACTGTGTTGATATTGTTTAGGTGAAGGCAACCTATAGAGGAGCCCATAGGCACAAAGCCAAAAACACAACTTCCCTAAGGCTTGGATTCAAGGGCACTATGCCCCGGAACAAATCCACCCCTAGCCCAACCCCAAGGCTTGGAATGGTGAAAACCGCTAGCCGCATGCCTCAAAAAGTGTTTTTTTTACTTTGTCTACTAGGGCACGAAGCAAAATTCATCGAAAGCCTCGGGGATCCATGGGGCTCCACCCCCCATACATGAGGTGACAGAGAATCCTGTGGATGCCTTTCTTTCTCCGGGTTGAGAATCTTGTTCCCATCCCAATCCCAATCCCAATCCCAATCATACTTAAGTGAGTATGAGGAATCGGAAGAAATCCTACAGACAAGGCTGTAACTCGGATCACTTCATATTGTTCTCGCAAAACCGGAAAGCCTCCCCTAGGCAGATAAATCAGAACACATGGGAGAGCGCTCTAATAGAAGCATTGACCTAAGGATCCGTGGGAGATTAGACCAAAGGAGATGAAGGTTAAGCTTGACAGATTCAACTCTACCCGGTGTCAAGCGCCATCTCTAGGACCGGAAGAAACGCAAAAAGCTCACCGAGATCGGTTGGGATGATCACCCCAAAGTGGGTGACTACCTCAAAAGACTCACTGCTCGACCAAGGAAAGGGAACCGACTTAGAATTATCTTGGCACCAGGCCTTTGGGTACAAAACGCTCATCAATAATCAACAAAAGGGCTATGATCGAGCTCAACACATTAAATCCCAAAACTAGTCCTCGCAGTAGTTTTTAGAGATCAATAGAGAAAGTGGAGTCTCTCAAACTATAGGCTCGAAAACATTATAGATCTATACAGATCCGATCTTTTTCTGAGTCTACTGACAGCGCTGGCTCCAAATTTGTATATTAAGTCTTTAAAAGCTTTTAAAATTTCAATAAATCTAACAATGAAGAAATTTCCTAAGATATAAAATAAAATGGAAAATAAAAGGAAAAATTAGATGAATAAAAATAAAAGAGAAAGAGAGAGAGAGAACATACTTGAAAAACTCGGAGTTGCGGCCCGCATTAAGACCGCGGGTTGATTTATACCTTTTGATGCCTTTTTTTACTTTCTTGAAGCATGGCACGGAGGTTTTTGATCTAGGGGAACTTATTCTATAGGATTTAATCTTGATTTTGGAGGACTTTTGGGAGGATTAGGACTTAGGGTCTCAAGCGTAAGGCTTTCTAGGGTTTTCCCTATTTTTCTAGAGGTTTTCAGTAATTTTCTAAGGGATTCAAGATTTTTTCTATTTTTCTAGGTATTTTGGATGAATTTACTATTTTCCTGGGCTTTCTAGGATTTTCCCTAATTTTATAGGATTTACTAGAGAGTTTTCCTATTTATCTAAAAATTTATGAGAATTTCCTAATTATATAAGCGTTTTCCAAATTAATTTTCTAGGGATTTTTCAATCTATTTTGGATCTATTTTCTGGGATCTTACTATGCTTAGGGTTGAAATAATTTGAAATAATTTAATTGTTCCAACTCTATATAAAGAACAACAGTCATAGCCAAAACAACTATAATAGTAGACATGAGCAAAACAAGAGAGAAAAACTCATCAAAATCATTTGATTTCTCATCATAGCCTTTCACAACCAATCGAGCGTTGTACCTTTCAACAGTATCATCATGACCTTTATTCTTCTTGAAGACCCACCTACAACCAATTGCCTTTCGCTCTTCGGCTAATTTGAAGAGTTCTCATGTTCTATTTTTTCGTAGGGTCTCCATCTCTTCTTCCATAGATGCTTTCCATTGACCGGCTTCATCAACCTCACATGCATCACGATAAGAAACGGGCTCACCATTCTCTGTTAGGAAAGTATAGGACAAGACATAATCATTAAGCCTCACATAAGCCTTTTTAGGTCTATTGTATTTCAAGCTATTGGACAATTTCAGGTTATCGGCCTTGACCACTATCACGCTTGTCCTCATGGGCGCATTCCACCTCGACAGTTTTTGCATTTGACTCATCTTTCTTTTTCTGCATGGAATTTTCATTGCAAATAGCATCTTAGCTAACTATAATCTTGTGGACAATAAAATCTCATAATCTATACCCCTTTGTACCATTAGTCCAAGAAAAACGTACTTGGGTCTTTTCTCCTTTGGAATCAAAGAATATGCATCGCACCCAAAAACACGATGGAAAGAAT